GGCTCTGAGCTAACATCTATTGCCAATCCTCCTCCTTTTTTTCCCCAAAGCCCCAGTAGATAGTTGTATGTTATAGTTGCACATCCTTCTAGTTGCTGCATGTGGGACGGGACCCCAGCATGGCCGGAGAAGCGGTGCGTCGGTGCACGCCCGGGATCCGAACCCCGGGCCGCCAGTATCGGAGCGCATGCACCCAACCGCTAAGCCACGGGGCCGGCCCCAACCCTATCCTTTTAAATAATCCCACTGTTGGTCAAAGTAAGTTTGCAATTAAAGAATTACCAGTGATCCCCATTTCCTCAACAAATGTTTGTTCAGAGATTATTATATTTCAAGCATTGTGCTAGGGGCTTGAGATAAAAGAGTAAATAAAGAATAAAATAAAAACTATATTTACAACATAGGAATGTTGTGAGGATTCAATAAAATAATATTAGTAAAGTTAAAGAGCACAGTGATGGTTCCATAGTGTTTTCATTGTGTGTCTAGATTTTGAACTCACTCATTCTGTGTGAAATTACTGTGTCCTAAGGAAAAGTTAAATCTTACAAAATATTTTCAATTGTAGCACAAACTTAAACAGTGCATTTTTCTGACATAATATCTGACTGGTACTGTACTAAGAAATTAATCTGTGAGTTGAATCAAAGCTTGAAAGATACATCACTGTTTGAGCCTCTGTTTCATGAATGTTTTATGGAATTTTCTACAGAAGTTATACAAGTTTTTTCCTTAAGAAAACTTTTATATGATATTTTTTAAAAGAGACTATTAAATAGTATGATTTGATACTTAGTTTTGTAAAAAAAACTCCTATATTCTGATTAAAGTATCATGAATTTAGCCAAAACATTAACTAAGATGACCATTGGAAATTTTTTTTTGATAGAAATAAACATAACAATACAATATAGAATGAACTCAAAAGCCAGACAGGAAATTAGGGTTATAGTTATAATCCTTCATTTTTAAGGTGAGAAAATTGAAAAGACTGGAGGATGCCAGAGGCCCACATGTAGCAGTTAGACATGTTTGGGACCTTATAGTTGGAATCTAAGACTGCTGATGTCTTTTCAGTGCTCTTTTCTCAGTTTGTTCTAAGATTCTGAAATCCACCTCCATATCATATATTTCTTCTTTTTTTTAATGTAAACCAACACTATTTTGCTTTTTAAGTAGTGTTCTTAAAGCACTACAGCTCCGTAAAGAACATAAATTAGTATAGTCATCTCATAAGCCAGAGTTCTGTTTTGTTTTTAATGAGTTGTTAAAAAGATGAAGCCTATTCTAACTGGATAAATATTTTTAACCATTTCACTTTGAGTAAATGAAGGCTCACAAACTAGCAACACTCTTCTTTGAGGAAAACAAAAAGCGGGTGTTGACAGGTGACAGCACACACACACACAAAAAAAAACCAAAAAGAACTGTTCAGAAATAACTGTTCCCATATTTTTTGAAGTCGCTTTACAATGGGATGATATGAACATGATCTTGCCGCAAACTTGCCATATAGATTCGTCATACATGTCGTTGAGACAAACGACTCAGTCCAAGAGGTGCTAACTTCAGACAATGCAGCATTATAATCCTTTTAACAAAGCAATTTGTTTTACTCATTATCCTTTCCTCTAGACTGAATATAGGCTAAAAAAAATACTCCCTAATTAAAAATTGATATTGTTTACAGAAAAAATTACATAATTTTGCATTAGAATTTAGAAGTATATGTTCAAATCGAGTTTGCCTCCTCCCCCATCCCAGCCACAAAATGGGCATGCAGTAAAAATTTTTAAAATGCTTAATTTTTAACTTCATGCAAACTAAATAAAGATGACAGAACAAAAGGTTAAACAATGGAAGGATATTTCACAGAAAATGTCTTATACAAAAAACGTATAAGAAAAAGGTCCACTAGATGACATTTTAATTTACAAATTCGGCATCATTTTGGTTGACAAATATCCAGATGCTGTTTTTTCTGCTAACAAGAGTTGCAGAGAAAAAACAAAACAAAAACAGTATGACTTCTGATTTTAATCACACATTTCTCATGTATTTCTTTATATATTCATAAACCTTGTCAGATAGTATCTATTCATATGTGTATTTCATGAAACTGTATTTGGTGATGAGGGTGCCTTCAAATAAGTTGAAACGTGAAGCCCGTCTGCCGTGTTCGGCATATGAGAGGAAAGCAGGATCGCGGGCAGACGTGAAGCTCTTTGCAGCACACACATTTGTTATGCCTTTATTCTCACGGCTGCTGCTTCCTCTCCACCATGTCTCTGCTGTCTATCATTCAGCTCATTTCTAAATCCACTGGTCAATTCCTGTCATCCATTCTGGGGCTTCATCTTACTTGACTCATTTGCATGATGGAAAACAGTTCATCACCCTCTCCTCTCTGAAACACTCTCCTAATTTGCCTTCCAGGCACTAGAATCTCTTCATTTTCCTCCTCCTCTATTGGTTGCTTCTTCTCAGTCCTTTGTTGGTATTTCCTCTGTTCTCCTCTTTCTTAAGGTAGAGATGCCAGACTCAAGCTCTTTACCGCTCTGACTGCACTTTTCCTTTGGTGCTTCATCCAGAGCTGTGTGTTTACGTAACTGTCTATGAGCCGTGACACCAGCCTTATTTCTCTAGCCCAGAACTCTCTCCCAGGCTCCAGATCCATATACCCCATAGCCTACTTGACATACTCACCTGGAGGTCTATTGAACATCTTTCTATTCAGCATGTCTAAAACTGACTTCTGATCTTTCCCTCCAAACCTGCTCCACCTGACTTCATCTTGTGAAGTAACGGGAAGTTCAGTCCATCCAGCTGCATAGACCGAAGCCTTGGAATCATTCTTGACTCCTCTTTCTTTCAGACTTATTACCTCCAGTCTGGAAATTGTATTAGCTCCTCTTTTGAAATATATCCAGAAGCCACCCCTGCCCCCAGCTTCCTACCATCCTCCTCAAGCCACCCTTATCTCTGACCTAGATGACAGCAGTAACCTCCTAACTAGTCTCCAGGCTTCTCCCCTCACCTGTCCACTTTCAACATAGCAGCCACCATTTTTGCTTTAATATACACTGTTCTAGCCACTTCGCTGCTAAACCCTCTCCTCACTCAGAGTAAAAGCCCTGGTATTTACAGTTGCTTAAAGTGCCCCTCTAGGTGCTAGATCTGGCTCTAGAGCACTCGCTTGCACTTTCTGACCTCTTCTTTGGCTACTTCCCCCTCTTACTCTGTTCCAAACGCCCTGCCTTTGTTCTTCCTCCACACCTCAAGCACACTTCTGACCTGGGGCTTTCACTCTATATTCCGTCTGCTTGGAAAATAATCACTCCAGATATCTGCACGTCACTCCTTTACCTTTTCTGAGTTTCTGCTCAAGTCTCATCACTCAAGGAGGCCTACCCAGACCTCCTATTTATTACTAAGGCCTATTACCCCCACACAAGGCACTCCTGATCTTCTTATCCTGTTCCACTTTTTCTCTGTTATTTTTTCATAGACTCAACGCCTTCTAAGATGCCATCTATTTATTTTCTTATTTTATTTGTTGCTCGTTGTCCGTCTCCCTTTAGAATAAGACCTCTTTGAGAGGAGAGACGTGTCTGCTTTATTCACTGATGAATCTTGTAGCCTGGGGCATAGAAACATAACAGGTCCTCTCTCTATTTTCTGACCAAGTAACGGAGTCCTCCTCCTTCCAGATTTCTCC